AGAAACTGAAAGCTTTTCCTTTAAGACTGGGAACAAGACAAGGATGCCCACTCTCCCCACTTTTATTCAACATAGTACTGGAGGTCCTAGCCACAGCAATCAGATAACACAAAGAAATAAAAGGCATCCAGATTGGCAAGGAAGAAGTTAAACTGTCCCTGTTTGCAGATGACATGATATTGTACATAAAAAAACATAGTACTGGAGGTCCTAGCCACAGCAATCAAACAACCCAAAGAATCCACTCCAACACTACTAGATCTAATATCTGAATTCAACGAAGTTGCAGGACACAAAATTAATATACATAAATCTGTTGCACCCCTATATACTAATGCTGAACTAGCAGAGGGAGAAATCAGGATAACAATTTCATTCATAATTGCATCAAAAAAAATACCTAGGAATAAACCTAAACAAGAAAGTGAAAAACCTGTACTTCGAAAATTATAAGATACTCATGAGAGAAATTAAAGAAGATATCAGTAAATGGAAACACATCCCATGCTCATGGATAGGAAAAGTTCATATTGTCAAAATGGCCATCCTGCCTAAAGCAATCTACAGATTCAATGCAATTCCTATCAAAATACAAAACAGCATTCTTCAATGAACTAGAGCAAATCATTCTAAAATTCATGTGGAACCACAAAAGATCCTGAACAGCCAAAGCAATCCTGAGAAGGAAGAATAAGTGGGCGGGATTACACTCCCCAACTTGAAGCTCTACTACAAAACCACAGTAGTCAAGGCAATTTGGTACTGGCAAAAGAACAGAACCATAGACCAGTGGAACAGACTAGAAAGCCCAGATATAAACCCAACCATTTATGGTCAATTAATATATGATAAAGGAGCCATGGACATACAATGGGGAAATGACAGCCTATTCAACAACTGGTGTTGGCAAAACTGTAGACCCACATGCAAGAGAATGAAACTGGATTATTGTTTAACCCCATACACAAAAGTAAACTTGAAATGGATCAAAGACCTGAATGTAAGCCATGAAACCATAAAACTCTTAAAAGACAACATAAGCAAAAATATCCTGAATATAAACATGAATGCATCTCCTGAATGCATCTCCTCAAGCAAGGGAAACAAAAGCAAAAATGAACTAATGGGACTACATCAAACTAAAAAGCTTCTGTACAGCAAAGGACGCCATCAACAGAACAAAAAGGCATCCTACAGTATGGGAGAATATATTTGTAAATGGCATGTCCAACAAAGTGTTAACATGCAGAATATATAAAGAACTCACATGCCTCAACACCCAAAAAGCAAATAACCCTATTAAAAAATGCATGAAGGATATGAAGAGACAATTCTCCAAAGAAGAAATTCAAATGGCCAACAGACACATGAAAAGATGCTCCACATCTCTAATCATCAGGGAAATGCAAATTAAAACCACAATGAGATATCACCTCACACCAGTAAGGATGGCCAGCATCAAAAAGACTAAGAAAAACAAATGCTGGTGAGGATGCAGAGAAAGGATAACCCACCTACACTGGTGGTTGGAATGTAAACTAGTTCAACCATTGTGGAAAGCAATATGGAGGTTCCTCAAAAAACTAAAAATAGAAATACCCTTTGACCCGGGAATCCCACTCCTTGGAATTTACCCAAAGAATGCAACTTCTCAGATTCAAAAAGACATATGCACCCCTGTGTTTATCACAGCACTATTTACAATAGCCAAGGTATAGAAGCAACCTAAATGTCCATCAGTAGAATGAATGGATAAAGAAGAGGTGGTACATATACACAATTGAATACTATTCAGCCATAAGAAAGAAACAAATCCTACTATTTGCAACAACATGGATGGAGCTGGAGGACATTATGCTCAGTGAAATAAGCCAGGCTGAGAAAGACGAGTGCCAAATGATTTCCCTCATTTGTGGAGTATAAGAACAAAGCAAAACTGAAGGAAGAAAATGGCAGCAGAGTCACAGACTCCAAGAAGGAACTAGTGGTTACCAAAGGGAAGGGGTGTGGGAGGGCAGGTGGGGAGGGAGGGAGAAGGGGACTGAGGGGTATTATGTTTAGTACACATGGTGTGGGGGATCACGGGGAGAACAGTGTAGCACAGAGAAGGCACATAGCGGATCTGTGGCATCTTACTACACTGATGGATAGTGACTGCATTGGGGTGTGGGTAGGGACTTGATAATACGGGTAAATATAGTAACCACATTGTTTTTTCATGTGAAACCTTCATAAGAGTGTATATCAATAATACCTTAATTAAAAAAAATTTTTTTAAGTATGTCCTGCCTCCACAGACATGGATATTGGTGTTATTGTTGTTCTTTCCTCTTTCCCCACAAAATCCTTGGAAATATTCCTGCTTCAGGCAGGGCATGTTTTTGGCACTCATCCAGGTAATTCTTTAGCATTTCATTTTTTTCCTCAAGCTCTTCCTTAGGTTCATATCTTGCTTTTTTTTAAGGCAGGAGATGGAAAAAGCAAAATGGATTATTTCAGACATATCACCTCTGTCCTTCCTTATGGCCATGAAGAGACCAAACTTTGTCTCTCCCCTCATTCTTCTGGGTATATTGATGGAAAAGTCATTCTGCCTTCCATTCCCCTTCTCAAGTCACTGGGATAAGAAGCGTAATACCCAGCAGGTGTGCCTTCCTGTAAGCGTGTCTATTTGGGGTTTGGAGGAGGAAAGCTAAGAGTATGCGGGGCGGTCATGAGAAGGAGGGCTTTCACGGGGAGTCCTAGCCCAGCAGGTGGCCGTGGCTCTAAATATTTCCCTGTTTCGTCACTTAAAGCTAGAACACCTCCCAAGCTCCGTCAATATATTCACCTGAGATGCTCACTGATAAGTAAGCCATGAGCTCTACAGTTTGTTGAAAGAGAAGCCAGGACATTTTTCTAGTTCCATTCTCCAGAGATCAGGGACCACTGGGGCATCTGGTCCCCTTAAAGGACCTCAGGTCCCATAGAAAATCTCAGTCTCCCAGACTGGCTCTTCTGCTCTCCTCTTCCCCTCTGGAGGAAGTGGGGTTTAGCCTGGATCCAAAGCTCCTGACAAGTTTGTATTCAGCTTTACTTCTTTCAATGACAGCAGCAATCCAAGATTTCACAGTCCCCATACAGTTCCTCCAAGAGGCAGTTTCCCAGAGGGAAGGTGGAGATCCTGGTTCTCCTTTTGCTAATTGCTCCAGTGTTCTGCTCACAGTGGCAAATGTGTAAGACCCCAGTTTTTAGAAAACACTGAAGATTCATGAGAAAAGGTGAGAGGAGGTGGGACCCGGTGATACACAGCCATAGGCTTTTGTTAAGTTTGAAGGATTTCAGAGTCACATGGAGGCATCTCTAATCAGACACGCAGAAAGAGGGGGGCCACTCAAAGATGGGAGCAGAGATTGGAGTGACGCAGCTTCCAAGCCAAGGAGCACCAGGCGCTGCCAGAGGCCAGGAGAAAGGCATGGGGACAGTTCTCCGGCGGAGCCTCCGGGAGGAACCAGCTTGCCTACACCTTAACTTCAGACTTCAAGCCTCCAGAAATTGAGAGAACAAACTTCTGTTTTTTAAGCCACCAAGTTTGTGGTTATCTCTTATAGGAGCCCTACCAAATGAATACAGATTTTTGCCTAGAGGGAGAAGAAGCAATCTTGTTTAATGAGTACCAAGGGATATAGATTTATTATGATCTCTAATGGATTTAATAAAGTTATTTGAAAAAATATTACTGAACACCAGTTATGTTTCAGGCCCAATTCTGCTGCTGCTTTTAGTCCAATGAAAACCCTGAACCAATAATCATACTAGTGACTGCCTAATTACAAAGGAGACAGCTGCTCAGAGGTTCTATGAGAGCAGACAGTGAGGCAGGCCAACTGTGAGTGCGGAGGCAGCAGGAGTTCCCTGAAGGAGGGGCTGGAATGAGCAGGGTGACCTGTGGCCCTTTTCTTCCTGCTAAACATTGCATATGGCAGTGGGTGCTTTCCTAGTCAAAATGAGTGCACCTTTCCATACTTTAAAGAATGTTTTGTGAGCTTCCTGATACCTTGATGATACTAAACAGAGTTTGGGATTAACTATTTTGAGTAATAGACAATGGGAAAAGGACTCACACTTTCTTTCAGGCAGTAGATCCAATCTTCTCCTGAATCTTCATCTTCACCCTCTACACTGCTAAGTGTTTTCCTTGGATAGTACGAAATGTGCTGGGGAGGGGGAGATGTGGTTCCACATTCAGGTAAATTTTAGAAAAGGTGTGTTTTTCTGTAAGCACTCTTGTAACTTTTAATAGGCTGATCAGCACTGTGAAGCTGCACGTAAGTGATATAATGTGCAACATCCCCCAAATCTTTGGACTCTGAATCCTTTTATCACAGAGCAGTTCATGAAACTAGTGCTTCATGGAACAGTCTGAGGAACACTGCCTCAGAGCAACTATCACATTGGACAAATGATTAATTTCCATTTTCCTTCTCTTCTCTTTCTTCCAGGGTGCCTTCTGACAACTTCCAGAATAGAGTTAGGACTCCCATCTCCAGGAGACCCTGTCCAGGGCAACTAGGCCCCCAGGCTGGACCTCAATGGAAGATGAGGGAATGCGGCCACATCCACAAATGGAAGACACCATCTAGGTGATACATTTAAAAGGAAAAGTCCAGGGAGGACCCTTGCACCTTCATGACTGCTCACTTCTCCCCACACTGCTGACCGTGTAGCGACTCTTGCAAGTACAGGCCCACAAGGGTGTTGGTACAAACATGGGTAACAAATAGGATCTGGTGACTGATCCTCCCTTCACATGAGGCAAATTAATTTCCAGGCAGAAGGCCCTGTGATTGACACCTGTGGTCTATGTGATCAAAAATCTCTTGGCATCATTTTGTTGCATCCTGGGATATACAATTACAAACACTAGTTGATGAAGCAAAAAGCATGAAACAATTCCATAACCATAGCAATAGATATGTACTATTACACGTCATGGATCCAGTTTTCTTAAGTCTCCTAACCTTCGTCATGTCCACGATACTCCATCAATGGCTCACTCTTTCACACTCTCCCCCAAGCCATGTAACTTCCTTGTGCTGCACTCCCTCCATTTTCAACTGGGAGACACAACTTCATTGCTGTTGTATGTCCAAGACACCTGATTGTAAAGTGCTGTGGGAAAAATGTGCAAATTAAATGGATTTCCAATATTTAGATGAAATGAGACTTCAAATAAAAACTGGTTTTCCCACAGCTCCTGGAACCGTGGGCCGTCTCATTATACCCTATTTCCCTAGTATCACGAGCATCAATCACCCAGATTGGTCACAGCTGCCTTGATGAGATGGGCAAGAAGCTGTCCAGTCCTCTGCACCCCACCATGGGTTCCCCACAACATCTTTCTTCACTCTCTTAGCTAACGCAGCTAGCATCTGCAGATATTATGGTTGTGATCCCAAAGTAGCAGAGCAGGCCTAGGCATAGTGCCTCTGGAGGGGCTAGGATGACACCACAATACTAGTTGGTAACTGAGTCCCCAGGGGTGCAGTGGGGGAGAAGATGGAGAAAGGGTACACCCAGAGGGAGGGAGAAAGGGAGAAAACTGGAGCACACTAAAATGAAATGCCACAACCTGCACACTTGGCCTCCCACCTCACCTGCATTGATATGTGCCAGACATTTCTGCGAATAGCTTGATTTCCAGCCCCCAAAGCTTTTTTCTTCTCCTTTCTTCCAGCACCTAGAACAGTAACAAACACACAGAAAGAATGACTCCAGCAGATGCCCCCAGTTATTGCTCCAACCTGACATTCTCCCCAGAGCACTTCTGTGTACATGTCCTTAAGCTCACACTATATCTCTGTAGTCAATCCCAACTGAGATGGGTTTCTTAATTCCAGGCCTTTACCTACATGGCCAACCTGCCAAATAAAAGCACAGCAGAAGATGCAATTCACTTGTGTGTCAGCATGGTCATGGAAACTGTGTAAAAAATTGGTGTCCAAGCTGTGACCCAGTATGTGACTTTAACAATTTTTCTCCTCTCCCTTTTGAAATCATACTGTTCACTTGAGATTTTCTCTAGACAGAGAAGAGGAGAGGCCACTAGATCTGGGAAGGCCACTAGATCATAAACTAGGTGTTTTCATTTTTGTATCCCTGACATTAGCAGAGCCTACAGCACAGAGTAAGTGTTCTCCAAATAGAGTTCTGAGTGAGCCCAAGTGTGATGAGAAGGACAGAGAACCCCTAGATTAAGGGGGATCAAGTACGCAGCTTAAAGCACTGCTGTATATTTTCCTGCTTATGTTAGCTAATTCACATAATCTATCTAGGCTTCTCTTTCCTGATCTGTGAAAAATAACTAATAATATACACAGTTGGTACAATCCCTAGACAGTCAGAATGTCATGTGGCAACATAAACATTTTAAAGAATACTGACTCAGTGATCCCAATCCTATGAGCTTGTTCTAAGTAAATAGTTCAGCAAAAACAACCCTGTTTTGTGCATGAAGTTTATTCAGAATTATAGCCAATAATGAAATATTTAACATTACCTAACTATCCCCTATAGAGAAATAATTACCCATGTATACTATTAAAATATAGTAGATGATTTTTTATCAATAAAAATTAAGATTATACAGACTATCTAAACACACAGAATCTATCATCCTCAATGCTGTTAGAATATTCCTCTAAAAACAAAATCTTTTCATATTGCTGCCCTACTTAAAATTCATCAGTGGCTAAAAACTCAGGAGTGTTAGTGCCAAGGTAATGTTTATGTGAAAAAGAAACTGCCAACTATTTTCCAAAGTGGATGTACATTTTACTTTCCCATCAACAATGAATGAGAGCTCATGTTGCTGCACATCCTCATCAGCAATGGTTATTGTCAGTCTTTTTAATTTTAAGCAGGCTAATAGGTGTTCACTGGTATCTTGATGTGGTTTTAGCCCACATTTCTTGATAACTCATATTGCTAAGTATCTTTTATGTGTTTATTAAATATTTGTATGCTTATTTACCCAAGAGAAATAAAAACTCATGTCTGCAAAAATTTGTACATGAATCACCATAGCAACTTTACAATATTCCAAAACTGGAAGCCTAAATATCCACCAAAAGATGAATGGATAAACAATTTCTGGTACACTCACTCAATGGAATACCACTCAGCAATAACAAGGAATGAACTTCTGACACACACAGCATGGATGAATCACGAAGACTTCAGACTGATTAAGAGAAGCCAGATATAAAAAAGAACACATTGTATGATTCTATCAGTGTGAAGTTCTAGCATAGGCAGAATTAATCTATCATGACTGAAAACAGATCGGTGGTTACCTAGAGCTGGAAACATGGGAGGGTGTTGACTGTAGGGGAACACAAGGTATTTTTGGGAGAGATGGAAATGTTGTACATCTTTATTAGGGCAGTGGTTACATAGGTATATATGTCTGTCAAAACTCATCAAACTACACACTTAAAATGGTTCATTTTATTGTGTTTAAAATATACCTCAATATACTTGATTTAAAGATAACAAAGTATTCGATTGTTCCTCCTTACTTCAGAACAAAGGGGGAAAAATATTAGTATTATACATAAGACCCTTGATGATACGATGCTTTCTATCTCTCCAACTTAATTTCCTACTAGAATTCCACCCATTTTCTTCTAGTCGTACTGAAACATCTGCTGTTTCCTGGCCACATTTTTCTCATGTCTCTATATCTTTATAAATGCTGTTCCCACTTCTATGGACTCCACACCCCACCCACTGCTTTCTTGTAATTTGACTCCCTCTTACTCATTCTTCAAGATCATCTCAAGCCTGCCTGAATGTCTCTGCAAGGCTGGATCTGGACCCTCTCTGATGTGTTCTCTAGTTGGATGTTTTTACACTCGGTATCACAGTGATTATTCTTGTCTGACTCCCTGACTGGGCTCTGAGCATCTCTGAGCCAGGGTCTGTCCTGTTGCATTCTTCATTCCCAGCACAGAGCTTGGTACATACTGATTAATAAATGTTCAATGGATGAATGGGTGAATGAAGGAACAAATGCCTTGTCTACTCTCAGAGGGACCCAGTGAGTATCACATGAGTTGAGGGATGTGAGTCCCTGCCCTGTATTATCTGATAATTTGATTTGACCTCACAATACATCTGTGTGGCTGTGATTATACCCTCTGAGAATCTCAACCTCCATCCTGGGGTATAGCGAGTAAAGAGAATTTTGCAGTTCCTAACTCAGGATCAGGGTGAGAAGACTTCCAAGAGGACGCGAGCTCCCCAGCTCCTCAAGAGGCAGTCAAAGAAGCTTGACTCCAGTGACTCACTGAGTTTCCAGGCAGTGGCTACACTCCCTCTGTGGGGTAGCACACCTCAAACCACAGGGAATCATCCCTATAACATTTTTCATCATTCCTTATAATATTTGTTCATTGATCTATGTAACCTAATTGCATTTGCACTTCTAAGAACATCTGTTTTAGTTTAATGTACACGTTTTAATTCCTGAAGGTTCTGACAAGTAGATGTCACCACAACCTGCCCAGGCAGACACAGGGAGCCTTTGCCTTTATGCACCGAGATTCCCTCAGCCATTAACTTGATGACATGGAGTTGGAGGAGCTCCTGTCCATGATTATGATCCACTTTCTTTACCTTTGCTGGAGCTCTAACAAGAAACAGCCAGGCCTCCACCAGCCTCTCCTCCCTTTCATCACCTTACTGCTTTGTCAACATCTCCCCAGCACCCAGTTCCAGACGGTCAACGCCAATGCCAGCGCACATGCACACTTGATGAAGAGTGACAGCATACCTAGATGCCATTTTCTTGAAAGCAGACCATAAAGGCATTTTATCACCTACCATCATTCCCTGACCTTTCCTAAACTTTTGTTTCAAAAGTGCTTCTCCTTCTGTTTGGGCCAAAATCCATTAGAGAGCCATCCAGCCTTTAGTCTTGCACAGTGGTTCCTGATGGTCGTTTGTACTGTCTGACACTGAAGGGGAGTCTGGCAAAGTAAAGGTTGGTGGAGAATGTTCACCAAGCACATGCCCAAAGGCAAGTGGTTGAGCCTCTGGAGAGAAGAGCAGAGGAAGGCTGGTGAGAGGGGGAAATAACATTAAATATACAGTTGGATTTGCAAGTCCTTTTTCCACGTCATGAAAGGTTCCCTTGTTCATTCATTTATTCATTCTTTCAATCTGGCTAGAGCCCGCAAAACGGCCAAACACGGCCTCATCTCCAGTGTAGGCCCAGAGCTCTGACTCCATCAGCAACTCCGAAGTCCCCCTACACCACTCCCAGGCATACCTTGGGAAGTAACGTCTTGTGGACATTCAAATCAACCAAGAGCCCAAATATGGTTCTTTTGGGAGAGGACTAGGACAGGGAATGACGACTATCAGCAATTGGTTCTCTGAAAAATCTGAGCCCTGTGAATAACCTAAGCCTCCCACACTGTGATGGGGGGAGGAGGGATGGAATGTGTGCTCGTGTTTTCCTAAAATATCCAGCGAACCATGACCCTAAACTCTACACCTAAGGCAAACTGGGAATTACTATTTTAACAAAGCACAGCTTGGAAAACAATCCACACACATTTTGTGACTTGGGCCAGCCCCAGAGAGATTTCTGACAGCATTTTATGAGTGACTCACACTCAAGGTAAAATCAACACAGGTTTTCCAAACACAGCCTCTCTGAGGGTGAAGGGTAAACTTTTCACCTGCCTGCCTCAGCTCATTTCCATATGCTTTGCCACATGGGATCTAGGAGGAACATTTTTCTAGGCATACAACACAACTTTTAGAGCTTGTAAGTATTATTGTTTGATCTCACTGGACTATTGGTATATCTCTCACAGAGGAGGACAAGAGAGAGCATGTGCAACATGAGACAGGAAACGCACTTGTTTATTCCACAAACATCTGTGGAGCTTCTCCCCCATGGGGCTACTGGCGAATACCAGGATGACTAAGACACAATTGAATGAGGGCAGATATAAAAACAAATCATTAAAATAATGCAGCAAGTGCTGAATAAGGTTTGTTCCAAGGGCCCTGGGTACACAAAGAAGAATAATTAATTTTGTCAGAAGGAGTCAACGAAGATTGTGTAGAGGAGACCCCCCCTCCCCGGCCATGCCTTAGCAGGTGAGTTGGGATGTTCAGGTGAGAAAGGAGAAGAAGGCATTCCATGCAGACGGAGCAGCAGCTACAAAGGTCTGGAGTCATGAAAGCCCCCTGAAAAGTATGGTGTGTCTGGACACAGGTTAACTGAGAAGAAATCAGGAGAGCATGATTGGGGTCAGATGTGACAGCATGTGTGCCACCCTATAGGGCCTAGACTTAATTCTCTGGGTGAAACAGGGTTTTCAGCATGGGTGCCATTTATCAGGCTTTGGGAAGATGTCAGGCAGCAAGTAAAGTGGGACATGGAGAGCAAAGGCCAGAGGCTCACACCACAGACCAACTAAAATCAGTTAATTGTGGTGAAATGGAGAGGTGAGTCGGGCATGCGGCCTTTGGAAAATGAAGTCAACAGCACCTGGTGGCTAATTAGAATTGGAGGTAAGACAGAAAGGGAGTCAAAGCGGATTCTGAGCTTTCCACCTTGGCCAACTGAGCCAGTGATGACAGTGCTGAGCTAGGAAATCGAACACAAGAGGCTAAAACACAAGAGACTGAGAAGTTAGGCCCTGCTCATCCAAAATGTTTACCGTGTAGTAATAGGATAAACAGCCTAGTAAAGGCTTTTTTTTAGGCACAACTTTTAAATCAATTGCTTCTTCTATTGTGGGGGGTGCTGGACATGCTGTTCAGGGAGGCGAGTGACTGGCACACGGCAAGGCCTCTCCCTGTCTGAGGTGCTGATCCTGGGGCCACTCACAGTGAAGACCAGGGGCAGGGCAGCGAGGACCCCGGTCTCCCTCAGCATCTCCCTGCTGTTGAGTGCTTGGGTGTGCAGCACCCTGGGGAGAGCTGCTCTCCTCACGAGCTCAGGCCCAGGGATGATCACTCTGAATGTACAGGAGCAACGAGAGGCAGTTAGGTGCAGAACTGACACTGGGGCAGATTTGGGACACCAGGTGGGGAAGAGGGGCTGCCATGGCAGCCACTGGGACCTTGGGATTCCTTAGCCACTTCCTGCTCCCTCCAGTCTGAGCAGCTCCAGAAAACAGCAGCTCGGAGTTACAAGGCTGGTTGTCACCGTGCTTCACTAGCCACCCTCCTTGACCACATCCCAGGGACAGCCAGGGCTGTGGGTAAAGACAGCCCCACTCATCTAAGAATTTTCAGTCTGAGGACATGAAATGTAAGTGCCTAACGCAATGAGGGGAACACAAAAGGTCCAAACCAGAGATAAAGAGAACCGGGATAAGGGAGCCCAGGGAAGAGGACGTCCATTAGTCTTCCTGAAAAGAAAGGCTTCTTGAAAGCTGGGCGCTGGTAACTGCATGAGGAGCAGGGAGGGATTCCCAGGAGGGAAAGCACGAGGTGGCTTCACAGACCTGAGAGAGCTGTTCCTCCTTCTTGGCGGGAGGTGAGGCCAGAAGAGTGTGACCCTTCAGGGCCTTGAGAAGGAGGCAGAGAAGCTAATGGGGAGCCATTCAAGGTTTTTCAACAGAAGTTGGACTTTTGGGAATGATCATTTTAGCACTAGTATCTGAGATATATAGGCTCAGGAGAAATCAGAGACAAGATCAGTTAGGAGACCACTGAAAAACAAATGAGGAGTCTGGTTTTCATTAAGTCAAGCACTGAGCTAATGCAGTTTTACATAACTGTATGCAACTGGGGTTATTGTTCCCACACTACAGTTTGGCGAAAATGAAGCTCCGAGATTTAAGAAACACGCCCTTGTAGGTGGCAAAGCCTAGACTCACTCCCAGGTCTGCTGGACTTCCAAGCCCATGTTTCCATTGTACTGTGTTAGAAGGGGCTATACCACAGCAAGAATGGAGAGGACAGTGACTCTCGGCCCTGGCTGAGCGTTGGCACACTTCAAACCACATTACTTGATGACATGGAGTTGTCATCTTGAGGGGCTTTTCAAAACCACAATACCCAGCTATACCCAAGGCCAACCAAGTCAGGACTTCCAAGAGGGGAACCCAGACATCAGTATGTGTTTAGAGTCCCCCCCCCCAGGAGATTCCAGTATGCACCCAAGTTTGATGCCAATGCTGGAAGAGATGTTGTGAAGGCAGACTTGAAAATAGTTGGCTAACAAATACAAAGACTGAGAGAGAAGGAGGAAAGAGGGTGACTTCACAATTTTGAACTTGAATAAAGTCAGAAAAAAGATACTAGTGAGGAAACAAGTAATTAATTTTCATAATCCTCTACTTCTCTTCACTGTTGACATCCAAGTGGAAACACCCAACAGCTGCTTGGCCGAGTGAGCCAGAGGCTTCAGGGTCCTCAGAGTCAACACCGTATCAGGCTCAACACCTCAGCACACCAGCACAGCAGTGCAACGGGCCAGCTCATTCCAGCCTCAGAAAGCTAACTGCTGAATTTTCTGAAATTTTGCAAGCCACTTGTTAATGCAGCCATCATTAAAAATCAAATTATAAAACCTTACAATTGAATAATCTTAAAAACAAACATACTTTCAAAAGTCATCACTTCCACTTACCACACTTTACTATTATCTGTGCATTTGAGGTCATTTCCATCTATTCTATCCAGATGGCAGAAAAATCACATGGTGGTGCCCTATATGTGCATCTCCCCAGCTCAACATCAGCTGTGTAGACAGGCCGAAACTGGCCATGGTGAGGAGCATTTACATGGTGAAAACGGGCACAGCCAGCCAATCAGGACCACCCCTTCCTTGCTGCTAAAAACATTGACCAGCATACCACGTTATGCTCTGTGTAGAAAAGCCTCATGTGAATGTGTTCCAGGAACCTCATTAAAGTAAAACAAAAAGAATAAGGTAGAAATTAAGATAAGAGTAAAAATTAACATTAGAAACAGTTTCTAATATTGACTGATATTTCCCAAAACACAAGCTTTTTGCACGACTCAGGTCCTTTGGGATCACTGCTATTCCAAATAAACCTGTTTCATTTAGCTCCATGAATAAGAAACTTCTAGCCAGAGAGGATAAGTTTTATATGCACATATAAAAATACTCTGCATTTATATAGCACTTTCCTTTTAAGACGCTCATAGCAATTACACTTGTTCTCATTTTTCCTGTGCAAGGCCTGGGGAAGTAGCTGACTGGCAGAGGAAATAAGAAGGAATTTTAAAAAAGCATGTCAAAGTAGAAATCAGGGCATTACCTACCTCGGTGGTATCAACAATTTTTCTTCTTCCCGTATAGGAAATCCTGACTTAAAGACTTTAAAGCATCTTGCCTTTAGACTTCCTGAAAAGAAAGGCATCTTGACAGCTGGGAGCTGGTAACTGCGTGAGGAGCAGGGAGGGCTTCCCTGCTAAGAAAACAAATGCCTTTAAAGCATCTTGCTTTAAAGTTCTAGGATTGGACTCCCATCCCTGGCATTTCTCCACAGACATTTCTCTCCCTCTCTCTTCCTTCTTTGGCCCTACCTCTTAACTTGGGCCAGGGCTGGAGTTTACAGTCCATGCCTCCCTCCCAGAACCCTAGTTCACCACAGGCCAGGGCACAAGAAAGGAGACTGGCCCTGAGCCGGAGCAGCAGCCACCTGTATCCAGAGTTGCTCCCATGAGATTCGCTGTCTCTGTGATGACAGTTGCTGGGCCCCACGCCAGTGACACCACCATCCCCTCTGTTTCAACTGCTTTGTCCCACTGGGGATCCAAATGGCTCCTCTGCCTTTCTTTGGCACTTGCCTCTGAGGCTATGGACAATTCTGAATCAGTCCTTTGAAATACGAGTCAGTGTAACTTCAACACTGCTATTTTCTCCACCCAGGATTTATCTGGGCTTCAGAGCAGTGCCTACAAGTTTGCTGATGATGAAAACTGGAGAAAAAAATAATGTGTGTGTGTGTGTGTGTGTGTGTGTGTGTGTGTGTGTGTGTGTGTGTGTGAAACAGAGACAAACTGAGAAGAGCAAAGAGACAGAAACAGAGACAGAGAAAGGAAGAAAGGAGACAGGCAAAGAGTTAAAGAGGCTGTGGGAATTCCTGAACAAAGAAATTATTTTCTTTTGAGTTATTTTGTTTCTGAGTAAAAATTTCACTGTTTGCTTGTTTGTAACTCATGGGAGGGTAAATTTACCCAAGGTGAACCTTCCTGATGGGAAACCCTGAGCTCTGCTCAAGCCAGACCCACATGCCATAGTGCCCCCTGGGCAACTTCCCCTGGAAGCAACCTGAGCCACAGCCAAAGATCATTGCCTTCGGCAGTGTATGTCTCTGGCCAAATATCTCTGGATGTTCAGATTACTGAGGCCCAGTCAAGTCTGAAGGGAATTCCTGCTGATTCCCAACAAAGGCTTCCTCATGGCCACAAACATGGCAGCAGGACTGCTGGCTCACTCCTGGGCTCTCTTCTCCCCAAGTCGTGGAGTTCTGAGGAGTATCCTGAGATAGGAGGGCCCTCAGACTCAGTCTCAGTGGCCTTTGAAGCAGTTAGAGGTCCACTCCAGACACACAGTACAAACAAGTCAATTAAGCAGACGTAGCAGTTTGGGAAGCAGCAGACAGTTTTCCTTGTTCCAGTACCCCCACAGCTTCTGTGCAGGTCAATTTGCTCATATGGGAGATGCCGGGGTGTAAATGGTTGCAGTCACTCATTCAGCAATTGCTTACTGAGCACCCACTAGATGTCAAGGATGCTGTGGGTTATAGAAACAAAAAGCAAACCAGCCCACATGGGCCCAGGCATGAGTGGGCTGATGGCCTTCCCATGGACTAGTCTCTGAATTATTTCTTAGTGGCAAGAAGGCTTCCCTGTACATATCTATATCTCCTCAGCCAATGAATTCAGCCCTTACAAAGTAAAAGGAATCGTGTTTTGTTTGTTTGTTTAGATTTGGGTCCCAAACTTAACTACTTCACACTTGCAGTGTGGGTGTCTGAAATGTTAATGGAGCCCCACACAGCCCTGGAGAGGGTAAATGTTGCAACATCTGCCACAGTAAAAAAACACTTATTAAGCTCCTGTCTGCTCAGGGCACCATATGCACTAAGTCAAAGAGGCACAGCCCAGCTGGCCAGAAGTTTCTAGAAACCCTGGTGCTCACACACATAAAGGACAAACAACTAGCTGAGCAAACGCTGATAAAGTGGTGCTGTCAGACCAACAAAGGGAATGCAAATGAAGAGCTGGTGATGAGGTTCTCTTTGGGGAAGGCATAGGGTGACAGAGGGGTAGACAAGTAGGGTTGAAAGTCACTGGCTCTGTCTCATTGGTCCCGGGTTGCCAAACTCCTTTGAATGATGGACAAAGTTGGGTGGTGGGGACCCAGGACAAGAATGCTCAGTGACTACACCCCAAAGGCATCTGGACACCAGTGCAAAGTCACAAGGCCAGGGCAAAACCTCTCTAGCACTTCACTCTGGCAATGACAGGCTCCCTCCATAGTCCCTCCTGTCCCTTCCCTACCCACCCTTAACATTTTACCTAAGAGCCTTCTATTGTGTTAATATCTAGTGGGGAAAAAGTGACTCAGGCTAGTGGATGACTAAGGAACATAAAACTGGAGAGGAGTCTATCAAACGCTTGCCCCCACCCCCAGGTTACTTGGCTCATTCCCTGACTCTGTTAGTTCACAGGCTCTGACATAAAAAGCAGGAAGTTACATACACTAAACAAAGCTCCTTAGATGTCAGGAAATTAACCTGGGAAATCAGAGCCAAGAGTGATTAAAGGCACTGCACTCCGAGTTCAAAAACAACCATGGCATTAGATCAAAAGCTGTTCACTGGGCAACCCAGACTCAGCTTTGCCAAACTACACATCCCAGAAAACCTGGCCACAGGGCCCACACGCCTGTGTGCTCTGCCTTTTTTCTGCTGCATGACTGAATCCTCCCTCAGATCTGTGGCTTTGGACTCCTCCTGCCTTAGGAGTTTGAATGCCCACAATTGGCAGGTCTTCCCCTAGAAGAACAGCTGGCTTGCCCCAGATTTCCTGATTAGGGGAAACCACACACACCTCACTGCATAGGGGGTCCAACAAGTGGCCCCAGGAGAATCAAGACAATCCTTAAGAGGAGGAGGAAGGGGACAGGCTGGGGATCCTGACCATCCCAGCTAAGAAAACAAATGCCTTGTAGAAGGTAGAAAGGTCAGACCAGAACAAACCACAGCATTATGAGAATCATTATTTATGTCCACAGCAATAATAATTATCTCTTTGAGCCTCGATTTCATAATCTTTACAATTAAGGGCTTAGACTAGGTGGTTTTTACTATACCTTCCAGTTTATGAAATCCTGGAAATCCTACACCGCTTTGATATTTTACATCATGAGGAAATTGTCAAGGGGTTTTGCACAATACCATTTCACTGTGTCCCTGGCAATGGGTGTTAACCCCATTTCACAGAGGAGCAACCTGAGGCCCCATAAGAGGAAATGGCTTGCCTAATCCCGCATAGCAGAGCCCATCATAAACTTTCATTCTAGTGGCTTCTGGTCCAGTGCTGTAGAAGGGCAATGGTGGACTTTGGTCCCCACATAACTTAAAGTATACGCTTTAGTGTGTCAGGCTTCTGGGAAGTGGGACACTCAGAGATGTACAACCCCATAATGGGCTCACAATAGTGCAAAACCCTCTTCTTGAGTCCACAGAGGTTTGATTAGTTGCATTACCTGGAGAAGAAAATCAAGAAATTTTTCCATACCCACAACACCTCCAAGAGCCTGCCCTGTCCCTACTCTGAAGGGGGTATCCCATGGGCCACACAATCCTCATCCATAGCTCATTGAGGCCACCTGGCTGAGAGCCACTGGTTTGAGTGGATTTCTTTTCTGACAACTGAACCACCTGGGATTAACAGAAGCACATTGGGAATGTCTTTGAATTTTACTAGGAAACCCCATCTGCAACCTTAGAGCAGCCATTAATCAGGTATCCATGAACCACAGTTAGTGTCAAGTGCTGCCATGTTATAAACCAAGTGCCCTTAGTTCTTGGGAAATTCACATTTGTGGTTTTGACTACTAACAAGCAACCACAGGCTGTTGAAATAAAGTATTTTCACGTGATACGTGTTTGAATACGGTGTTTTGACCTTATAAGGCTTAGGTGCAAAAAGGGAGCGACTCAACTAGTGAGAGCTCTGGGGCAGCTGCTGGGGGTCCAGGCTATGAGGTAGTTTTGCTGTTTTCAACTTCTTGTTCTTCAAGCGTTTTCTAAGGAAAGTCATATGTGAAAGAATTTTCTAGAATTTGAGAATTTATAATGGCCCAGGCAAATCCCTTCCAAATGCCATAGGTCTACTACACATTGTTACTGACATAATTTTTAGAAATCTCTGGGTCCTCTCCTAACTATTAGCTCTTTGGAGGATGAGCTCCATGCCTTACGCAACTTTGTGGTACTTATATCTAGAAAACAGTGCCTGGCATCTTACAAGCTTGCAGTATATTCTTAAGGTAATTCTCCTGTAATTCTCACAAGGAACCCAACAGGTAGATCTTATTATTTTCAATTGTATTAATCAGTTGAGGCTAAGTCATACCCAGTAACAAACAACCAGAATATTTCAGCGTTTACCACACCAAGGTTTATTTCTCACTCATGTCACACATGCACTATGGGTCAGCTATAGCCCTTCTCCATGCCTTCTTCATTTCAGGACCCAGTGACAGAGAAAAAGAGAGATGGCAGCTACACAATGGTTCTTTTTCCTTTTTTTTATTAATTCATCACAAAAACTCTAAACGTATCACTACAATAGTGATGCAACTACTCATACTCACTTTTGCCAACCAAGGCAAATCTCACGGCCAAGCCTAATGTCAAAGAAGCAGGCAGGTATATAGTTCTTCACATGGCCACACCTGGCACCATGGAACAAGGATGCATACTCCTCCCCCAGAAAGAGACAGCAAAATTATCAACAGTAATACTACAGTTCGCACCATTTTACAAAGAAACTGAAATGAAGTAAATTGTGACGGAGTACCTTGTTAGTGTCAGACTGTGAAGGAAGTTTTCAGACTGCAGGTGGAGGATCCCTTCCACTACACCCCAGCGGATCCTCAGTCTTTCTCTGGGAGAGAACCACCTCCAGGACCTGATCTGTACTCTACGCCACTCTCCAGTGACATTCAGATCAAGTTGTCACCCTAAAACATTTGGCCTCAATGTTTTATTCATAAGGATCATATGTCCAGGCAACTCTAAGGGAGCCAACGGAGACAAAATTAAAAAGTGCCCATCAAGAAATATCGGTAGAGCCAATATTTACATTCTTAACAAATGGAATAATTTTAAATTTTTCTTAGTTTACCCAGAC